CACCAAAATAGCAACCAACTCTAAAACTATTGCAGGTGAGAGGTAGAGAGCTTCATATCTCAATCTTCTAGGTGATGTTAGAAAAATACTTTAACATGAAAATCACCTACAAACATTCCTTCACTTTCTTTTTTTTTTTTTTTTTTTTTTTTTTGAGACGGAGTTTCGCTCTTGTTACCCAGGCTGGAGTGCAATGGCGCGATCTCGGCTCACCGCAACCTCCGCCTCCTGGGTTCAGGCAATTCTCCTGCCTCAGCCTCCTAAGTAGCTGGGATTACAGGCACGTGCCACCATGCCCAGCTAATTTTATATATTTTTAGTAGAGACGGGGTTTCACCATGTTGACCAGGATGGTCTCGATCTCTCGACCTCATGATCCACCCGCCTCGGCCTCCCAAAGTGCTGGGATTACAGGCTTGAGCCACCGCGCCCGGCCATTCCTTCACTTTCATATGCTGAGCAATTTCAGCTTAGAGTGACTCTTATTTATCTCTGTATCTTCAGCACCTAGCACATAGTAGGCACTCATTAACTATTTGCTGAATGAAGGAAAAAACCCTCATCTGACCAAGGATAAATTTCACTAAAATTAACCATAATAAAATCTTTATGGACTCCACATGAAACTATGTGAACTCCACTTCCCCACATACTTGACGGCCTATATGGTTCCTTATGCTGTTTCATTTCTTTAAATATACTTTAAAAATTGCTTATTTACACAATAAAAACAATGTCCGCCATAAAAAAAAAAAAGTCTCTACTTTAAAAGTATTGGAATTAGTCTTAGAATTAACTCATCTGTATTTGATATGAGATCATTCTGAGATTGTTCTGTGGAATCTCCCAATTCCAATAATGATGCTTGCAATATCCTTTAGCTGTCTATCAGTTCTTCTGGTCTTTATTCAGGCCCAAAGAGAGAAGATTGAAGTGGACTAAGATAAAATGGATAGTTTGTGTATTCATGTAGTGAATATATTCAAGACATAAATATCAGACAGAAAGGTGACCTCTGCAGCAAACTATATCTGATCAGAGTTAAGTTAGCTTCTCTCTCTGAGCCTTGATTTTTCTCATCTCCAGGACAGATTCATCATAGAATCTCTCTGGTCCTTTTTAGGTTCAGTGTTCTATGATTGGTTCTCATTTAATAGAAGCACTAACAGAAACACTCATTAATCACACATTTTGCTGGAGGTTGATCAGTCCTTAGCAAATCAGGAAGAAATGAATGTTCTACTTCTTACTTCATGCAGAAGCTCAGAAAGCTGGGCTCTAAAGGCCCAAGTTTTTTGTTTTTGGCTGAAGCAATGTATGTAATTTAATAACTGAAATAGTGTCTGAGTTTAAATGCCATATAACATTTTCAACTGAGGCTGCACACCAGAGTCACCCAATGAACTTTATTTTACTGCTGCCTGAGTCCCACCCTCAGAGGTTCCTTTTAACTGATCTGTGTGCAGCCTGGGCATGAGGACATTTACAAGCTCTCCAGATGATTCTAACCCAAGCAAAGAGAATGATGATCGGCACAGAGCAATGAATCTCAAACTTTAGCATCAGTCAGTCACCTAGAGGGATTACTAAATCACAGACTGTCAGATGTGACGTCACACTCAGAGTTTTTGATTCACTAGGTCTGGGATCTTGCTTTTCTTTTCTAGGAACTTGCTTTTCTTTTCTTTTTCTTTTTTTCTTTCTTTCTTTTTTTTTTTTTTTTTTTTTTTTTTTTTTGAGACAAGGTCTCACTCTGTTCCTAAGGCTAGAATGAAGTGGTGCAATCATGATTCACAGCAGCCTCAGTCTCCTGGGCTCAAGTGATCCTCCCATGTAGCTGGGCCTACAGGTGTGCACCACCATGCTTAGCTAATTTGTTTGACATTTAGTAAAGACAGGGTTTCACCACATTGCCCAGGCTGGTCTCAAACTCCTGAGCTTGAATGACCTGCCTGCTTAGGCCTCTTAGAGTGCTGGGATTACAGGCATAAGCCAGCACACCCAGCCTAAGAACTTGCTTTTCTAACAAGTTCCCCAGTAATGCTGATGCTTTTGTCCTGAGACCTAGCTTTGAAAACCACCACCAGCGAGAGAATATCATTGATGCTGGAACATGAAGTCCTGAGTTTAAACCTGATTCTATTATTACCACCTATGTAATCCTAGCAAAGCAATTTATTCTGTCATCTTTAGTCTCTTTCTGACAATAGCTAGATCCCAGAGTTGTGAGGCATGAACTGGGCATGCAATAGTGATAGTGTGCTAATCAGAGTTTGGTACAGTCCCTGGCACAGAACATAATAACAAATATTAACTTCCTTTTTCCATTATACATGGCTAGATGGTATAATTAAGTTAAATCAATAATACATAAGTTAAAATTTCACAGGAAAAGAAAGTACAGATAGTTGAAGCAAACAATCTTATTATAATCATATATGTAATACAGAGTGATAAACATAGAGAAATGTTTTAAGTACTTAAAAATATCTTTGTTCAATTTTCAAAACTTTGAGGGTAATAATTTAGGTAGCAGAAACATTAGATACAATCTGTAGAGAAAATATTAGACTCAATCTATGAAGAACATCAATTGTTTTACAACCTATAATGGATTCTGATACCTCATCTATAATTTTAGTTTTCTACAGAATCAACAATATAATTAGTGTAATTGCTTACAACTCTATTACACTGATCTTAAATGCTATTTAATTTCTGAGAAAACCTAAGTTATAAGAGTACATCAGAATCCCTATTATCAATGAAAGCAAAACTACCAACAACAGAAGAGGACACTTTTTAAAAAAATTTACATATACCAACAAGCAAAAAACTAGAGCTTTCATTCCTGTTTGTCCAAACCATGAGATGATCCTGGGAGGTAAGGAGGTCTGCTGTAGAAGCCACTGTACATACCTTCAGAAACAGGAAGGGTACGAGAGTGCCCTGCCTGTGTGGTTGGTTGCAGTGAGAACTAGAATACTGTCGGTGTTTTCCTGTGGAACCTACGATGAGTCCAGTTGTCTAAGTGAATCTCAAAGGCATTGAACAGTTGAGGTCAAAAGGCACTTTGTCAGGACTGTTTAAAGCAAGTTCCTCCTTATACCGGTAGTTGACCCAGAGGCAAGATCTTACTGGACTTTTTATTTTTAAAAGCCTTCCCTTTCCTTTCTAGCCTGAGGCCATTATGTGACATGTTTTTTTCCCTGAATTCCTAAAAGAAAATGTGATGATTGTCTGCATATCTTCTTTGTTGCTGCATTGTGTTTTGTATGGTATCCTTTTATTACTGTTTTCAATGATTACTTAATTTCTCACCTATTTATGAATTCTCTTAACTAGGCTGTGAGCTCCTCAAGGGTCTTTGACTTGTCCCTTTCCTCCACATAACTTTCTCAAATGCCCCAGTTCTCAGTAACTTTTCTCTTTTGCTGTCTGTAATATAAACATGACCCCTACTTACACTATCATTCCTATGTGGCCAATAAGAGTGTCCTCTTCCCAGCTGGATCCCAAAAGCCCTACGGGATGGAGGATACACAGTGTACTTCTTTGTAAAAGTGTCTTGACAAAGCTGATGTCCAATCAACATTTGTTTCATTACTAGACTGTCCAAAGCAAGAAATGAAATACAACTGATTGACTGAGTCCTCATAATCTTGCTGTCAAAATTATATAAGGCCTATAGTATGGTCAATATATTTGGATAATGGAAATTATTTTCTTAAAGCCAGAAAATTCAGCTACCCATCGTGCTTCAAACCAGCTTTGAAAGAACATGAACAGGACGGTTCCCACCTTATTGATATCACTGGCATTCTGTAATATCCATTTATTCATATCTTCCTCCTAGGCCACATGAAACACACATCAAACTTCCCTACCTCCTAAAGCAAACAAAACCCTTTTCCTCCCTCTTGCTGCAAAAAGGTTTAGCCATATGTAGTGTATAGAGCCTTTCAAAAATGCTAGCAATCCATGTCTTCTCATTTTAACTAAATCAGAAGCAGAGTTGATTCGACACTCATCCCGCCAGGGAGGCAGTGTCTTCTCTCAAGTTTGTTACTAGAAACCAAAAAGACGGCCTGAGAGCATTCAGGTACCACCTTTGAGGTACTACCTTATCATTTGTCCTTTTAGAGTTTTCCTACTGGAGTGGTTTGGCTCCAGCACAATAGCCCTTACCACAATCATTCCACCTGGTTCTGGTTTTTTTTTTCTTTTTTCTTTTTTTCTTTTTTTTTTTTGAGACAGAGTCTTGCTCTGTCACCTAGGCTGGAGTGCAGTGGCGCAACCTCAGCTCACTGCCACCTCTGCCTCTCGGGTTCAAGCGATTCTCCTGCCTCGGCCTCCCACGTAGCTGGGAATACAGGTGTCTGTCACCATGCCCAGTTAATTTTTTGTTTTAGTAGAGACGGATTTCACTGTGTTAGCCAGGATGGTCTTGATCTCCTGACCTTGTGATATGCCTGCCTCAGCCTCCCCAAGAGCTGGGATTACAGGCATGAGCCACGATGCTCAGCCCCACCTAGTTCTTTAATAGGACTGTGAGATATCAAAATAGTCACTAGAGCAGCCCAGAGACAGGTAAGATTTACCTTTACACCTCAAAGTTTTTTAGATGTGAGTCTCGCTAGATTATGACAATTTATCTTATAGTAACTCACTATAGTTGGTTATTATTAGAAATATTGTTCTTCTAATAAGATTTTTAATCAGTCACTTCAATTATGTTTTTTTCCGCTATGAAGTTTCGCTATGTTGCCCAGGCTGGTCTTAAGCGCCTGGACTCAAGCAATCTCCCACTTCAGCCTCCCAAAATGCTGGGCTTTACAGGCACGAGCCACCACATCCAGCCTCAGTTGTTTTTTTAATAAATGAGACTTATAACATCCTCTTATAAGGCTCACTCCCTTGCTCCTACTACATTTGCTCTGTTCTCTTTAAATTCTTCAATTAAGATCATCCCTTTTATCAGAAACCTAGAAACTACAAAATAGCTTTCTCATGAGCTCTTTAGTTCTCCATTGGTATCAATATTATACTATAATATTTGCATACGTATGTGTATATATGTATTTGCTTTTTAAAAAAAGTAAAAATGCTCTTTCACTCTCCTTTGTCTGATATAGGCACCCAGGTATGTAGTTAGAAATTAAATAAAGGCCACAATAATTTCCCAAGGAAGATCATTAAAAAGAAAAATCCTTTCTTCCTCTAATATCGCATAGCTGGCCTTTATGGGATGCCAGCTAAGAAAAGAGGTATCACCTATGGTGACAGGAAGACTGAATCTTTCTCTCTTTGGGTTATAGCTGAATTTCTATTGAAAGTCCTAGTAAAATACATAACTCCTCCTTTGTTCTAAGCAAGTCTTTTCTTCAGTTTTCCTTCAAACAATACCTTTACTTTCCCATTAGAATACGAAGAATTGGAATTCTGAACATCAAGGTTTGGGCTGGGTATCAGTCACTTCAAATCATGTGTTGGCTACACAGAGGGAAAGACATGGCAGCATAGCAGGGGTGGAGGGTGAGTGAAATGTATCTTCATTGGGAGCACTGAAAGAGAACAAGTTTTTCAAAGTTGTTGCCGGTATTTCATGAAAGCCCATGCTGCTACCACAGTGAGGGCAAAGAGTGGCACCAGCACCATAAATACGGGAATACCACTTGGGTCCCCTTCACCTCGATGTCCTATAGGTCCATTCTGCACCTGTAACTGGAAGGGAAAGAAAAACGTTAACTCTAGTGACTAACGTGTGTTTACAACTGAAATGCCCAGGTTGATACATCACCTGGGTTTGTAGACTGTCGCCCACCCAAAGCTACATCCCCCAGCAATACCTAGCAGAAGGGGTCCTCCCTTTGTCCTGAGCTGATGCATCAATGTGACCGGATCTTTAGAAAGAAAATAGGTCTGATGGGGAAGCATTTAACCTTGCTGACCTAAAGGGACTCCTGAGGGCAAATCAAGTGATTTCTCTGTCAGTACTGCCTATACCTTGCTTATCGTATCAGGAATGAAGATATGACATAAAACCTACGATCCTATAGGGAACTTGGAAATTACTTGGTGAGGAAGAAGGGGGATCCTTCTGGAAATGTTTACTTCAATTATCAGTCATTGAAATGTAGTAAGAGCAGATCTGGGCAATGTCCACATAGGTGTAATGACAACATAGGTGCAATGCCATTACTCGAAAAATGCTTTCCAAATCCCAGAAGGCACCCAACTCCCTCCAAAAATGGAATTTTCCCCTTCATCTGCTCATGTCTAATACTAGACAGAGATGAATGTGAATCTATATGGAATAGATGTAAAAAAGTAAAAAGAAATTATATTCTAGTGGTTATAATTTTCTATTGCCTAAGTGTTTTCTTTGAGGTTGGATGGTCTTCATTTTGGTGCTGGTTTTCCAAGTGGCTCTTCTTAATATCAACTTTTAGTGGCTAACTTGCAATAAGTGTGGCACCATTGTATTTCAGTTAGAGTTAACTTCCTCATTACAATTCATAAAACTCTAACCCTTCAATCTGAAAGGCAAGACTGCACAAAACACCATTATACCCTCTATTCCACCTCTACGTTTTTCATTCATTTGCTGATGAGCTGTCTTGAGAGGACATGATCAATAGGAAGACATGGTTTTTAGGGCTAGGCCAATTCCTTGAACAGAAGGGTCTTTTTTATTAGGAACTGTTTATGGGTGTTTCCTTAAAAGTGAACACTGGAAATAACTTTCCACATACCTTCCAAAACAACTGTAATCATACTGAAGTGTGTGCCTGTATTTACTTGTCTTTATCTACTGCACAAATTCTCCCATGCTTTAGAAAGAGAAGAGCCAAGGCAGAAGCAACTGATGACCAAGATTATTTCTTGTTAACCTGTTTTCTAATCCATGACACCCAGATGCTGCGTGCAACTCTGGTTGTTTTCTCAGGTATCTTTTACGTTCTGTCTTCTCTACTCTTTTAATAACTCCTCTCAGTCTTCTTAAGCTTCTAAATCCTTAGCCACTGAGTGAGGAAAAGAGTGCACCAATTTAAGAAGTAGCAAATCGATTACTTAATTTAAAGGCACATGGGACCTGTGTTGTGAATATACTCAGAAAGTCTCAGTGCTATAAGAGGAATTATATCTACCCAGGATTCCCTTTACAACATCATCCAAATTATAAATCGCTAAGAAATAAGAAACAGATGCAGGGATAGGTGCTGCCTTGACTAAATTCCATTTCCTTTTTCCTGGAGGTCTTCTATAAACACTAAAGCTTTGGTTAAGAGGGTCACCAAATTGATAAATGAAGGGTTCATGGCAGTGACAGGCAAAAGTATACAGTGGGTACCAGAAAACCCACCACCTTTGTAGTTAAGAGTTTTATCAAATGGTTTATAAATGAGTTTTCAAGGGTAGACATATGGTTCCTTCCCTACCAAAAAGTAAAATCAGCTATGTTTTTTTTTTTTTACCATCTTTTTAAAAATTAATGAATTTATTTATTTGCCATTGGTTCATGTGACTCAAAATTTTTTATGTATTTGTATTATTATTTTTTAAAGAGATGAGGTCGCTCTGTAAATCACCTATTTTAATTTGGCTGTCAAGCTTTATCTTTAAGTCATATTACCTTGAGGCGAGGACTTGGGTTATAAGCCGTACTGTTGTAAATTTTTCTTTTTTCTTTGAGACAGGGTCTCACTCTCTTGCCCAGGGTGGAGTATAGTGGTATGATCTTGGCTCACCACAAACTCCACCTCCTGGGTTCAAGCAATCCTCCCACCTTAGCTTCCTGAGTACCTGGGACTACAGATGTGCCTAAAATTTTTGTATTTCATAGAAGTTGCTCACTATGAAAAGCCCATACAACTTCTGCTATGAAACTACTACTGTGACTGAAATTTTTGTATTTTTAGTAGAGAGGAGGTTTTGCCATGTTGGCCAGCCTGGTCTACTCCTGGCCTGAAATGATCCACCTGCCTTGTCCTCCCACAGTTGGGATTAGAGGCATGAGCCACTGCACTTGGCCTGAATTTCCTTCAATGATAAGCAGAAGTACCAATGGACCCCTTCCTTTGCCTGAGAAACTCTTGAAAGGAGTGAGGGTAAAACAAACAAAAAGCAACACTGAAGATTACACACACTGGGTTTATTCAGAAGCATGGTGCAAAGCCTGGTGCCAGGTTTCTGGCTTGAAGTGATACCTACCCTGTGCTGCACTCTCAGACACACAGCATAGCCTGCATTACGAAAGAGGTCGACAGCATCTTGGTGCAGCAGGTTCTTTAGGTCTTGGCCATTTACCTGTCACACAGCAAAGAAGAGTAGTAAGAAAGGCAGAAGGCTATTACAAGCCAACAATTTCTTTTCAAATAGCCAAACTTTAAATAACAAACTCTTTCAGAGACAATTGCAAGGACTAGGAGCATGGGCAAAGTTACTCAGAACTCAGAACTTTTTTCATTTTCAAACTATGTTTTCCTAGGACTGAAGTTCCACAGGCCATTTGAAGACAACCTAAATAAAATAAAATAAAAACTCGTCTCTCCTTCCTCTTAGCTTCTATGCCTGTCTCATTTTGACACTTGGGAATCTGTTACTGTATTACTATTTCTTCCATGAGCATTAACCTGCTTCCCTACAGACAGCATGATTTTCCAGGTTACCACACTATCCTTTATACTCCTAAGCCCTGGCATTGCCAGCTACAATTCTAGAAATATAACTCTATCAAACTCTCTGCCAATTTATTTTTATGTGGTATAAATCTACACCGGCCCATTCTATTGGGCTTTTCATAGTGATCAACTTCCCTTGATTCCACAGATACTCCTATCCATTACATCTGTCTTAGTAGTCATTTTTTATCAAAATTTACTAAAAACCATATTCCTGTGATGATATTAAATCCTTAAAAAAATTTCAATGTAGGTCACTCCTACCACTTAGAGGTGAGAGATGTGAAGGAATACTGGTATTAATACTTTCTGCTGTTAGGAGTGACACTAGCCACAAGTAATAATCCATCCTATACTGTATTCAGTGGCACAGCACAGCCCACTCAGTGCAAGATTACGTATCTTTTATACATGTCAATGTCTTCGTTAACAGCAATGGCAGCATGAACATCTGATGTATTTATTTTGATAGGTTCTGTACTTTACATATGTTATCTAATTTAATTCTCATGATTACCCTATGAGGTAGACATTATTTTTATCTTGTTTCCACAGATGAAGAAAAGAAGCTTAGTGAGATTCACGCTGCAGCTAAGGCTAGGATATGTAAATAATAAAAGAGAAAGATCAGAGTGCCCTTGCATTTCACTGTTCCTTCTGCAATATGATTCTTGCATCTTGACTCAACAACTATCTTCTGCTCAGCTGATGCTCAAGTCACTTATTCAACTCCCTCATTTTCGTTGTCACAATCTTCCTTCTCCAAACCCTTCATAATCTTCCCTCTACTCTATCTCTTACCAATATACTTGGTGAATAAATCTAACGACACTTCTGCCCTACAGACCCTTTGTAAACCAATAGTTTCCAACACAATTCCACTTCAGTCACCAACTGACATAAATTTAGCCTTCAATATTAGACATGCTTCAGCTCCAATATCTCAAACTCTTAAAAACCTAACCACAATTTCCACTCTTTTCACACTTTCTATTCATCTACAGAATTTCCTCCTTGACCTAAAAGTCTTTGACCTTTTTAGACTTTACTTGCATCTTTGCTCATCTAGGACTCCCTGTTGTAATTTCAACAAAGCACTTAGTAAATCATTAGAACCTTTGTCCCCATGATCTTCCACCATCTTTCCAGTCCTGGGCCATATTCTACAATACTTTTCTTGCCATCATCCGATTCCTCTTCCTAAAGTACAATTCTGTTAGTACCACTTTACTGCTCAAAAAGCAAAAAGAAAATTGGGGAGCAAGGAAAGAGTACATGCCTCGTTTCTTATGCTGATATGGAGAGTATTCTAGGGAACGGCTCTAACCTGTCTTCTCAGGTCCATCTCTCACTGTGTCCTCTCCTATATCCTATACTCTAGCTAAGTCACGTAACTCACGGACTGGGACATAAAACATATTTTTTACCTTTATACCTGTGCTCAAACTGTATCTACCACCTGAATGCCCTTCCCTGTTAAAAAATTCTATTTATCTTCTAAGACTGATTTTAATAAAGGATCAGTCCTGCTAACTACAGTGTAGAAATGAATACAGAGTTTTCTACCCTGTAGAAACTTGAGAGACTTTAATTTCATGTTATGCCTTGGTTTTCTTGGTAGATATGCTGTAGGGAAAGAATTTCAGGATTCCTATAACTATTACAATAAATTCTCAATGACTCAGTTTTCCACTTAACTCCTGGGAGACAGAATAGGTGTGAGATTGCTGACTGTCATGAGAATGCTCACCTAAGTAATCTAACCCATGTGATAACTCTTATTTCTCAGTATAAAGAAGTATTTTCTCTAGAGGTAGACAAATAAGTTAATGATGCAGTCATGTCAAAGAATGCCAAATGATGTCACAGCTCAGTATCAGAGCCAAGGTTTCACAGTAATATAAATGCAAATGAAATAACTGAGTCACTACATTAAATGGTAGAAATACTGGGCTTAAAATAATCTTTGCCATTGTAGTCAGTAATAATTGCAGAGAATTACTGCATATTACCATGTCTGGAGCTGTCTATTCACCTTACATGTATTAACTCATTTAGTCTTCACAGGAGTTCTGTAAGCTAGGAAGCCCTATTTTATAAATGATAAAACTGAAGTGTAGAGGCTATCAACTTATCTGTGAGCACATAGAATGAAAGCTGCAAAGTCAAGGATTCAAATGCAAGCAGGCTGGCCCAAAACCCTTCACTTTAAAACACTAACCTATATGAATTTAGATGGCAAGCAAGGATTTTATTTTAGCAACATATTATTGCCTATCACATTTATGCTGTAAATTAAATTTTTATTGGTTTTGCCATTTTGTTTGTATTTAATGTTACACATTTAAAAAATGTTAGAGTTTAATAAAAACAAGGTATTTATAAATATTTCTATTCATTTGTATATATTGAAGTAGCATTAAAATTAAAAAAAAAAAATTTAGTAGGTGCCACTTCATTGTCAAGGTCTTTCTAGATAACTTCACTAGAAATGACTGATTTACTTCTTTGAATATTCTGTAACTCTGAATCCTACGCAACCATATACTTTGAATACTATCTAACTCTCTTAAAGTCCAAACAGAACTCTGCCTGATATGGCTTTACATTCTATTGTAACTTCAAGATGTATCTCAGCTGATCATTAACACTACAATACCTAAGAGAACTTTGTACACTTGAGCATAAAAAATAGCACATGCTTTCCCGAAGTTCGGTTGCAGAGTGCACCCCAAGAAAGCCATAAATACACAAAGCCTGACTGACGTAATCTCAGCATTACATAAAGCTGAAAGGCTTGGACTCTAACGGTAGTTTTACCTGCCAATGATTCAGCATGTAATCTTGCCCCTCATCTGAGTCTCCTGCTAACAGGGAAGAAAGACCTTGGTACTTCAGGCAAAAGAAGGTGTTATAAAGGACATAGACCAGTTAAGCCAATTATGCCTTTCAACTCTCCTAGTTAAGCTTAAAGGTATTCTAATATAAGAGAAGTTATTCTAATGACTACTTAAAAACCCCAAGTAAGAGACCTTTTAGAAATGCAAAGGTAATTATTTTTTAAATAACCATTTCTCTTGGCCAGCTCTTTGGGAGACGAAGGTGGGCAGATCACGAGGTCAGGAGTTTGAGACCAACCTGACCAACATGGTGAAACCCTGTCTCTACTAAAATTACAAAAACTTAGCCAGGTGTGATGGTGAGAGCCTGTAATCCCAGCTACTTGGGAGGCTGAGGCAGGAGAATTGCTTGAACCCAGGAGGCAGAGGTTGCAGTGAGCTGAGATTACGCTACTGTACTCCAGCCTGGGTGACAGAGCAAGACTTTGTTTAAAAAAAAAAAAAAAACAGGCCGGGCGCGGTGGCTCAAGCCTGTAATCCCAGCACTTTGGGAGGCCGAGGCGGGTGGATCACGAGGTCAAGAGATCAAGACCATCCTGGTCAGCAAGGTGAAACCCCGTCTCTACTAAAAATACAAAAAGTTAGCTGGGCATGGTGGTGCGTGCCTGTAGTCCCAGCTACTCAGGAGGCTGAGGCAGGAGAATTGCCTGAACCCAGGAGGCGGAGGTTGCGGTGAGCCGAGATCGCGCCATTGCACTCCAGCCTGGGTAACAAGAGCGAAACTCCTGCCTCAAAAAAAAAAAAAAAAAAAAAAAAAAAACAAGGAACGATTCCTCAATTCCTCATCCTCTACGCAAGGTAAACCAGCCCCTAAAACGTGATCCTAACTTTCTCCCTTGACAATGTCATTTCTACTCCAAAACTGAATCTGCTCTCCAATACTGACATCCTCTAAACATTTTTAGATTCCAGCTGCTCAGTGACTAACCACCAAGCTCTGGAGATTTTACCCTTCAGTATCTGTGGAATCCACTCTTTTTATTACCATTTTTACTAACATAGACAAATGATTCTCAAAGTATGGTCCCACAATCACAGCTGCCTTGGCATCACCTGGGAACCTATTAAAAATGCAAATGTTTAGGCCTTATCCTAGCTGAGCTTTAACAAGCCTTCAAGGTGATTCTCAAGTCTGAGTTAGTTCTAACCTAACCTGCCTGAAACAGTCTTTTAACTGGTCTCCACTCCCAGACTACTTTCCCTATTTAACATATCCCTTTCTACCTATCCCTTGCATGTACAGATTTCATTAGTACTTTTCCATTCACTGCAGTAGTAATTTTTCAAATATTGTGAAATCAATTCAGTGGGTCAAGACCAATTGTTTAATTTTTAAAAAGTGAAATTAGAAGGAAACAAAATATCAAAATTCATCCATATAGAAAAGTATTGTTAAAACTTTTGCTTCAAATATACACACATACTCCTATTTGATGAAGAGGAAATGTATGTCGCTCCTGTTATAGGTCATAATTTAAAAGGTTTGAAAAACACTTGCCTACAGCAGTGATTCTCAAACTTTACTGTGCACAGGCTCACCAAGGGATCATATAATGCAGAGTTTGATTCCGTAGGTCTGGTAAGGGCCGAGATTCTGCATTTCTAACAAGCTCCCAGTCCATGATGGCCAGACTGCTGGTCCTTGGACCTCACTTATAACCAAGAGCTACTCAGCTCAGTAATCCCAGAATTAACTTGCTACTTCAGCTTCCTTAACTCATGACAT